CTTTGTGCATAGATACCGGTTTAGTAGCACAGAGTCCACTTTTTAGTGTTGTAACCATCAGCAGAAACTAACTTGAAGTTTTAATACTTCATATCTAAAATAAAAAACCTGGAATATACATTCTCATGTCATATTATAATATTTCATTTTAGCAACAACAACAAAAAAGATGCTTCTCTAGATTCGGTAAAATCATCGTTATTTCATGATTAAAAACAGTTGTATATGACAACTTTGTAATTATATATAGTATATATATATATATATATATATAGCCTAATTTCTTCAGCGGAAATATTGTGTTTGTTGTTAAGTGTTCTGCCCAAGACGGGTATCGAAACCCACCTTTAGGTGTTATAAGCCCTCACATTTACCACTGAGTCATCGGGGCATTTTTCATAGGAAAACGGTAGCATTTGTAACCACCTTTCTCCTCTTCCAAAGGCAGATCTTGTGAAACTATTGCCAGATGGGATCACGAAAGAAAGACAAAGCTCTTGAAAATGTTTCATAGTTTTATATTTTGACATGGTATAGCTGGTATAAACAAAACTATGAAAAGTCAGTTGATTACACAGACTTCATAACCAATTTCCAGAGAATATCTTATGTTAACGTGTACGTAGTATCCTGTTTTTATCATATATGCGGTTATAATGCAGCAGATCATAGATGTAGCTGGTTGTATGTTGAATAATGTGTGTATCCTCAGAAAGACCTCACCAGCTTCACGTCAGTCTTAAAGGTTTAATGACTAAAAACATTTCATCAACATATTTACAAACTTATGTTAATAGCACAGAACGGACGTCAACACTTCAACAAAAGGCTTCGAATGGTCTTATTTCTCTAGAAAGAGTTTTTTTTTTTTTTGTCTTTTCTGTACAATACAATCTGCGTTTACTGTTCACATCTGAAATCAAGCTCAGAGCTCAAATTCTGCTAAACAGTCTAAGCAGAAAACGTAGAGCATATTCATCCTCTTTCGGATGTTCTTTTTTTACAAAGTTATTGTTCTTTACATTACCAAGGGATGTACAACATGCTTGTTTGTTTTTGAATTTCGCGCAAAGCTACACGAGGAATATCTGCGCTAGCCGTCCCTAAATTAGCAGAGAAAGGCCAAAGGGAAGGTAGCTAGTCATCACCACCCACCGCCAACTCTTAGGCTACTCTTTTACCAACGAATAATGGGATTGACCATAAAATTATAACGCTCCCATGAGCATGTTTGGTGGAATGGGGATTCGAACTCGCGACCCTCAGATTTAGAGTAGAGCGCCCTAACCATCTGGTCATGCCGGGCCCACG